TTGAAAAGATAAGCTCAAAAGAAACGCATTTTCCCTCCCAACCACCATAAAACACGAGTGCTTTAATTGATTGTCCTAAGATAATCCGGATAGACTATAATCGTTCTGGAGCAAAGAAGAAATGTACATACAGTTTAGGTACTAAATTGTCTGAATAAGACAGACAGTAGCAACTGTTAGGGTTTCTTGCGGAAGGCTGTTATTATTTAAGTTCAGCGATGATACCCAGGAAGTCATGGTACGTGAACGTACGTTTTCGATTATTCTTCATCAGGCAAATGCTATAATATAAAGGAGGGTTGAGAGAACAAAATATTAAGCGACCAATCAACAGTATTTAAGGAGAAGAGGTGTTCAGGGATCGCGGTGTCAGATTCTAGTTATAACAAGGAGCCAAAGGGAGAAGGGGTCCGACAATTAGTTCATGTCACCCGTCATTGACTTATCGAATCGTGGTAGGAGGCATGAAAACGCATGCCGTGTTTGTCTTCGGCCGATCGTTGTTACAATACTTTTCTTCGCCTGACGTTTCGACATCAGAGACATTAGCAGAGAACAGTAGCACGCGGAAGTCCACCCCTGCATCAACCTAATTGGAGCATACGGTGTACATAATCAAAACTAATAGTTGAAACGTGGCTTACGTTAAGAGTAGGATGCAGCCGTTTTACAATTCCATTAATTTTTTCACCTTATGACAAACGTTTGATGGAAAAACGATCTACCATAGCAAACTATCATGATGTTAACGTTCTAAAGGCTTAGAAAGTATTATTCTTTGTTGGAAGCCTCACATCCCTCCAAAGTCATCATAAAAAATATTCTATCAAAAAGGTAAGTCGAAACTTTCTCGCGTGAGTCTAGATTCTGTGTTTATTTCAATAAACCTGGTTTCCCTTTTCAATGGAATAGGCTATTACGGCTACAAGTAGCAGCATTACGTCCGGCATTATCCAAATTTTGATTTTAAACGCCTAGCCTTCTTCATGACTGCTTTACAGCTCAGGACTATAAAGTTAGAGGTTAACGCCGCTCCACACGAACACTAGACATTTTTAAGGCGTGCCCGAAATGGTGAAGTCTTTTTTCACTGAAATCAGAGGGAAATGATTGTACCTGTCATCAGGCGTGATTATCAAAGAAGTTACACATCTAATGTCTGAAGTATTTAGTCGGACGAGAGTTTCTTCCTCTGACTTTGGTCTATTGAGAAGAAAGTGTCCAATGTATATACCATTAATGAACAGTCTCGAACGAAAAGGCTATAATTTATCGCTAGAAAACGCATGTAATATGCAATAGTTGTCCATTTTATTTCTAATTCTGTTTTTCTACTCAAAACAAGATCTATCTGCGGAGGAAATACATTCAACCTGCGTTTACTCTTTGTTTTATTTTAGGACTGGGTTCTGCAAAGAACCACTCAAATTATGGTCGTTTCGTGAATGGAGGCGAGTCCTACGCTATGGGCATGCCGGCAGTTGTGAACGATGTGATCGGTTGCTTTTTGGTGCTTCGAAAGCAGGCCTACGGATCCGACCTCGAGGGTAACGTGTTTTGGTCTCACAATGGCCAGATCGTCCTCTCGCCGAGCTTGCAGGAGATAAAAATACCGTCGGAGCAGGCAACTAGAAGCGCTTTCTTCCCAAGTGCGTTGAGACACCATTTCTGCTCTATGTCAATAATAAATTCACCCAATTTATGCTTCGTATTTTACTGAAGGAAACCTCACAGTTGGGTACTCGTCGGGGGCAGCAGTTATAGATGATTGCGATACTGTAACTTTACGGCATCACACTGGTCGAAAGTGGGCGTAGCAAACTTAGCATTTTTAGTACAGTAGCGTTCAGGACAAATTTTTTCCTGCCTTTTTGTACAAGTTATAGAAACGCTTTCCTCTTTCACGACTTCACACATATCGTATTTAAATTAATCACACACTCCATTTACCTTAATTCTATTTGTGCACAAAGTCCTTCAAAAAGTGCCCTAGATACAAAAACAATAGCACAAGTGTCCTGCTATTTCTAATTTGATGTTTAAAATTACTGCTGATGGTTTAAGTACATCGCCTTAGTTTTTAGACCGATTTTACAACCTAACACTTTGAACTCCCATTATAAATACAACGAGAAAATGTCTAAGACATTGTTTACTTCAATTTAAGTTGCCGGTTTTTCCAAGAGGCTGTTGGACTAAGATTGATCTGGGGCAAATAAACGCCGATGTATACTATTTTATTTTGTTTGCAAAGTAAATATTTTTTTTCAGTTTGACATAGCCGGCTTTTACAATGCATCCATTTCACCGCAAACCCCACTCACCCACGCCTTTTATTGCCCCCCTCCCCCACCCACTTAGGCACCTCACTGAAGGACGCTCGTGTGGCCTTCAACTTTGGCGAGGTACCCTTCACTTATTCGCCTGAGGAGCTGACGGAGGGTCGCAGTGATTGGCTCCCTCCCGTTATGGTACCCCTGCAGCAGGTGGTTCACAATGTTAATGCCGGCTGGCGCATAAACCAGTTCGATGTGACCTCTACGACCGACCTGCAGGTGTCCGAGGACGGCCGAATGATCCAGACCAAGTCAACCACTGGCTGGCATGGCTTCCGGGCCAACAAGGTTAGTGGTAGTGCAGCACTGGAACATTACCAGGAGGAAGAAGGCGATGGCTAATGCGTGCAAGTAACCCTTTAAGCGACCGCCCCCTACGCTCACGCGCCAACTTGACAATCAATAAAACTGGCCGCTTGACTTTCACAATCCAGAAAAGACCTGGCTAGGCAGTTAACCAATTGGCGGATTTATATGTCTTATTTGGATGTTTTCAGGGATAAAGGTGATTTAGACTCCATCTTGGACGTCGAATCGGAGTCTTCAGCACAATAAATAATATTATTTGTTTATTAAGAAGTATTAACCTGCGTGACTTCTTTTACTATCCAGAGTGCACAACATTTCTCCCTAATCTCTGTTTAACCCGTTGTCTACGGGCGCGCTTCTGGTACCGTTTGTTCGGTTAAAGCGAATTTTCCTGTAAGCATTTTGCTGACCCTATATTATGGAGGTGGAATTTTAAGGATATCAAAAACTTCTCGGCATAAACAGTTTTTAAAACTATGGCCAAAGTAAAGTGGTGCTAGGGTAACTTTTAGGCTGGTTTTATAATTAGCTCAACTGTTGTAGATAGATAGGTACTGCTGATTAACTTCAACCGCCACAAACCGCAGATACCACGACTCACTCCACAATATGTATGTAATGATTCATCCTCAAAACGGAATTCTAGGACATCCGTCTTTGGCTTAAGGTCTCATTGAACAATGCAATGTGGGAAGGTATAGGACAAAGTACATCTGGCACATCGTTATGATGTTGACTCAGGGCAAATAAAGCTTTGGCAGCTAAAGCTAAGATAATGTATAGGGATCGGTACTTCGAGAACAGAAAATAATATTCATTTAGATTTCTTTTGACCGATCCTAGAACACTACATTCTGGCTGTTATGTGTTAGTTAGGCGTTCACTTATAGCGGGTTTTGTGACGGTCCATATCCAGGCTGAGTTATAGGTAACCGGTATTTGTTACCCGGGATTTAACAATCTTCACTGATGTATTGCTAAAAAGGTTTGTAGTAAGAACCTCATTACCGTTACAGCCTCACAATAATCTATACATATATATATATATACATAATATACATATATATTAATAAGTTGTTTATAAGCTTTCGAAATATTCGTTTAGTTACCCTTTAGAGAATTGCATTCGGGTGCATTTAAGCCACTGTCTGAAAATATGCCTAACTTGTGCTTTTAAAGTTGAAATATTCATTTCCTTCTTGTAGTGACGTCCCGGAAGATGTAGAGTTCTTAAAAGAGCTAAGGTAGAAAATTCAGTTGAGCCAATTGTGGAAAACTCGCGACTTCGCGGAAGTCGAACCCACACAGTAGGGAAGGCTTTTGCGCAGCCAATGTTCTACCATTGAGCTATGAGGCTGACCTTGAGTCGTGAATTAATTCACACTTTGGTAGGAAACTATTTTTCCTTTTCTAGAATAATAATTATCCTTAGGCAGACGCTGTTTTTATCATTCGAAGTTAAAAATTCCCACAAAATTTCCCTTTTTCGGGCATCAGCACCTTCTGACACTTTTTTTTTACAATCGAACGAAGATGTGCATACCTAAATATTTCCAGAAGAAAATGCGCATTCCTCTACTGCTGTTTGCTGTCTGATTATAAGCAAATTACACTACTTAAATTGATTAAAACCAACTTTTTCAGTTATTTTAAACTCTTTTTTCTATCTAGTCAGGTTAATTTGATGCTCATTCTAGCTTTTTTCTCAATTGACAGGGAGTTTTCGGATCTGGAAAGTATTACTATGAGGTAGAACAGGTAGAGAACTCTGGTATGGCTCGGTTCGGCTGGGCCCTTCAGGATGGCAATCTAATCCTTGGAACAGACAACATGGGCTACGCATTCGGAGTCGGGCCCGATGGCAGTCAGGCTCGCAAAGTCTTCAACGGGCTTTCAGAACCTTATGGCACGGTAGGTTGTGTTCAGCCCCAGTGGCCATTCAGTCCGTGAATTTTTCCAATTCATTAATTGGTATGATTTGAATATACATTCCCGTCCTAGACCTTTAGCGTAAGACCGGTTCTAACACAGGGAACGTTGTCAAGGGGGCTTCATAAGTGAGGAGCTTAATGGCCTTGTCGAAAACCCCTCGACCATTCCAATTTTAGGCAAGCGTTCCCTATAAGCAACACCGTAGTTTACTGTGCATAACTAGCTAATTATTTCGTTTTCGTTCGTTGTTTAGTTTAGTAATTAGTTTATTATTTAGTTTTATTATTTTTAGTTTATTTTAATTTGGTTTTTACTTTTATTAGTTTTAGTTTAGTTACTTATGTTATAGTAAACTACGCTGTTGCTTATAAGGAACTCTAACCCAATAATGGATAAATTATCTGGCCCCTCACCAACAAAGGGTATGTTGCATTTTCTTTAGGAGATGGGGCCTTTCATTATTGGCTGCTTCTACCGTGCGGGTTTGAAGTTAGCGTTCCTTTAAGCATCGAAATAGAAACATGACTTGGATATGATTTTCTGGCTCACAACATAAGTTTGCTCACATTTTCTATTCCTTTAACTCTCTCGTTCCTTAAAACTGTTTTTACCAGCATGCTCGTATTAGAAATGGTCATGTTTGTATAGGGGTGTATATCAGAAAGGCACCTTGCGTGCTTCGACTAGACTAAAAAGACGAAAAAGTAATGAATTTAGCGTGGCGTGGGGTTGACGATTTCCCTCTGCATTTATGGTCTTAGGACCACG